TTCCTGCTACATGGCAGCAGTTCTGAAGGACTCATTCTGGCAGCTAGGTTCATAACCCTCTAATCAGTAAAAAAAATAAAAATCATTATTTGTTCAGCAGAGGTTACACCAGCCCCAAATTTGCTGAACAATCTTTTCTGCCAAAGAAATCCTCAGTGGAAAGACCATTGTAGAAACATACAGAGGACTCACCAAAGGCCAGAAATCTTGGACTCCAGCTCTTCTGCCTAACAGCAGATACTTAAAGAAATCTCTGTGCTTTTAAAAAACTTACTACTAGAGAAATATTTGCTCTTGTAGTAGAGTTTGGCATAAAAATCCCTGCTCCTAATAATTTAGCTACGAAAATTCTCAGTTATACATATTTTGCTATATTACTATAGCTCTGTGCTCTCTGTAGCAAAGAACAGGACAAGCATATTTAAACAAATTACCTTCTTGCCCTGACTAATGTCTCTAACCAGTATTTTTTCAACCTATCTTCCTGTCAATTCACAGTAGTTTGAAGATAAATTCTATTGAAATCTGGAACAGAAACAAAAAATACCTGTGCTGTGAAGTGAATATGTTAAGAACAAATGATCATTTGCCATCCTGCCAAAGTCTAATAATGCATTCTAATCATGACGTATATAGTCAATGTTTCAATATTTCCTGTCATGACAGATGTCCTTTAAGGTTTTGTCCTAGTAAAAATGTTAGACACAGTTACACTCATGCAGCTTTTATTACAATCTTTCAAAACTTCAATTTATCCTTACGTTGAAGTTAGATCAGATAAAATCACAATTTATTTCCAAGTTGGTAATGTTAATTCCAGAAAGGTTTGACTATGGTTAGCTATAACTGTACAAAGAACCTAGTTGAAAAAGTTAGAGTTGAAACCCAGAAGCTGACAAACTATGATGCAAGCAATGATCAAGGAAAATTACATAAATGCTCTAGAAAGATCAGTTCTAAACTACTGAATGAATATCAGCCTGCCAGAGAAGAGTGAAACACCCCAAATCCTTCAGTGCCAACAACAGAGCTGGTGGAGTCCTATAAATAAACTCTCCAACTTGTGTCTTCCACAATGCCTTTGCTTGGGAGCTATGTTCTTCCCTCAGAAAGCATTACAGTAATGGCAGGCTGCTCCCATGCTTCCTTTCCTTGCAGGGAGTGAGAAGAGCATCCTGGAGTTAACCTGGGAGAACAACCTAAGGGAATCAGAAGTCTATAGCCTCTAGGTTTACCTGACAGAGTAGGGATATATGTATCACCGATCCAGGTGAAGAGGAGAGGCAAAACACAGGAAAAAAAAGTGTTTTGATCTGTAGATGGTCAGTGATCTTGAATGACTGCATTATTGAATGAGGTCACATGCTTGTCATTCTGTCATTCTGCTGACATCCAATATGTCCATCCAAAACGCTGTATAGAGACTTGTTTGCAAACTCTCGGCTTGAGAGCAACAAATAAGGTTAGAATTCTATAACCCTTCATTGTTTCAGGGTGTAAATTCACTTTATGCCTATTTTTTCGTTTCCTGGTACTGACATAAATCATACCTGTTACAGAGCTCGAATAGAAATCTATGAAAACTGCTCCAGTGTATGATGACATTTATATAAATATCAAATATTGTGCCAATGGGTGTGCTTTGCTTTACATCTATGAACCTAGTCATTAAACCAATGCTATATATTTTCAATATTGCATAGATGACTCTCTCTGCTATCAGTACGGCATGATAGAATTGTAGAAAGGAGGTAAGAATAATATAATTTCCATGGCTTTTATTGCTTCTCCCATTGTCCTCCCTCCTTCTTTATGTTTACAGTAAAACATTCTTTCCTATTATTCTCCACAGAAGTTTGAGATATTTGGGCAAAACTTAAATCTTAATTTAACAAATTTTTGATATAACAATTTACCATAGTTGGTAATATACCTGTGCTCCACAGGTTTAAGTCCTTCTCTCTAGGAACTTTAGAGTCTACATTTATGAAGTAAATCAGAGACCTTATACACTATATGGCCATGTAAGGTCAGTATTTCTTCCACTTCTTTTTAAAAATCCTTTGGATTAGAATGGGAGCTTTTTTTTTTTTAAATAGTTCTTAAAGTGTACCATGAAGTACAGGCAGATATTTAAATAAAGCAGGGAAGTGGCTGATTCACCATCCCTGGAAGTATTTAAAAGACGTGTAGATGTGGCACTTAGGGACATGGTTTAGTGGTTGACTTTGCAGTGTGAGGTTAACCATTGGACTTGATGACATTAAGGGTCTTTTCCAACCTATATGATTCTATGATTCTATGACCCTATATTATCTTCCAACTAAAATACTATGTTAAAGATAAAATACTTATGTGCTTGAAATGAAACTTCACAGTTTTAATTCTTTACTCACTGTCTAGTCTATGCAAAGACTGTTACATGGTAATAAGATTTAGGTGCTGTTATACAGAAGCTTGCATAGTTAAGCTCATATTTTGGTGGATGGGAGCAGTCCAGTCATAAGCACAAATGAATATAAAGCAAATGGGGAAGACTGCAAACTTGGCTTGAACACAGATACACTGTGATCCAACTCCAAAAAGTACTGCTCAAAGGAATTGCCCATCATTGCTAAAGAATAAAAGCAAACATAAGAGGCATCATTTACACAAGGCACAAAGACGTTCGATTTAACAGATTCCAAATTAGGGAAAAAAGCTCACAATAATGAAACACACCACAAATTCTTCAGACTAAAGTACTGCGATGTGAAAAATAGAAATCCAAAGTCATCTCTACAGCTTTAACAGTCTCAAGATATTCCCAAACAAAATATGAAAGCATGACTTCATACCTATTGGAAGAACAGGCATAGCTTTTGTACTTGACTGTAGTCTGAGTAAAATGTTTGGGCATCTGGTCATTCTACATGGTGGGAAGGAAGGGCCACTCAGTGTCTGTTACTGAGGAGTTGAATGTAAAGACTTTGATAGAAGGAATTATGCACCTTGTACGCCAAAACCAGTTCTCTAATGGGCAAGAAAGACATAAGAAGGAGCAGAAGATATTCAGGGGAAGACTTAGCACTTCCCTTCCCCAATAGCAAAGTGCTCCAATATGTATTGAGTTACTTTTCATTAAGCAAAGGACTTAAGTACAGGCTCGTGTTACGGACTGTAGTAGAACTTAAGCATGTACTTAAGTGGATTCCTTTATCCTTGGAAACTTTAGCTCTTGACTTCTCATTCATGCAGCTTAGCTGCTTATCAGGCCTTCTACCTAAAAAGATACCTGCAGAGCAAAGCCAGGATTTGCTTCTATCTGATTAAAATTGGAAGAGAAGGAAAACACGCCTGTAAAAAATATTGCTGCAAACTGTTTTCTCTTACAGAGCCCAACCGACAAAGAAATATGCAAAAGGAGAAGGGAATGGCAAAGCATTTCTTGTTCAAGCAGGTTCCCAGGGTTTTTCCCCACCTCTTCATTCCAGATTGCTTTCTTAGCCACCCTACCATAATTACTCTGTTGCATGCCTTATTACAGATGAAGTTATTGTTGTTACACGTTACTGTTTCACAATAATCAATGCATTTGTACTTATAGCTCCAAATCTCTAAAACCACATAACACATTAATGGCTGTGATCAAAAGCAACCAAAAGTATTTAATATGAGGGCAATGTTCCTTTTAGTAACTGGTGATGGGTACTAGCTTCTCATGTATTCTAGCCAGAATGTCTTGATTTTTATATCAGATGTGCTACTATATGTCACCATATATCTTGCTAAATCAGTTTGCATATGGGCATCTTAGCTGATATAACAAGCCATGTCAACAAATATTGCTATGTACCTCAATTCAGAATCCACTTCTAAGTATGTCAATGATGGTAACATAAAAAACTTTCATATACATATGTAAATTGCAACACAAATTAAATAAAATCAAAGTAATTTAGCAAAGAATATATACTTCTGTTTCATTAGCAGGTAACAGATACGATTCACAGCTAGTGCTTGGCTTTTACACAACAAAATAATTCAGTGTTGGCATTTGTTTAATTCTACATCGTAATGCAAATGTAAAACTAAAAAAAGTTTGAAATCAAATATTTCGGCTAGATCTCATTAAATTTTACTACCTTACATTGTAAAAACAAACCTAAACCAATGGCATCGTTTCACAGGATTGATTTCATGATTTTGTGGCGAAACTTAAAAGCATTCCAAAGAATCAGAAAAGCAGACCAAGAGGAAGGGAAGCAGCCAGAACCGAGTTGCATAAACTCAACAATATTGATAAAATTTATTCCTTAGACTATTACTCTTTGGTAGGAAAATCTGAGGATTAAATTGTTTATTTAATTATAAACAATACAGTGGCATCTTATTGTAAAGACTTCTTTTCTTTTTTTTTTTTTCATCATCCTTCTTTTATGGTCCATTTATTTTCCTTTGACATCAACTAACTGCAGATTACAGGATTATTTCAGCAACTCATCACAGGTCATCATAGTTGGGGTTCAGAAGTGCCATACAGAAATGGTGTGCATTCAGATCCTATTGGAACAAGTAGGAACAGAGCTAAAGAAAAGACCTCAGTCCTTTAGGGCTCAACTCAGCTCTTTTAAATAGGAGAGCAAGCTCCTTGACAAGAATCCCTTTACAGTCTAGGCTATGTTTACTTGAATTGGCACATCATCTATTTCAGAAGCTCTAAGCAGTACCAGAATGTATACTTAGGACTGCAAAAATAAAGGTCAATAGATTTTTTTTTTTGGCAATGGACAAAGAAGTAAATATGAAACTTGTAATGCACTGATTGTATTTTAAAAAAAAAGTAATAGGAGAAATTATGATGCATAAAATGAAACATTAAGAAAGGCAGAAAGCCGGGCCAGCGTTATAGTAGTTCTAGGCAAACTCATATAAAAGAGCCAATTTTGAGAAATAAATTAATACAATGGACAAGATAATCTGTATGCAAACTAACTACATTTTTCATTGAGGCATACGTATGAAATCTAATCGGTCATTCGCACACAAACAGTTAACATGACAGCACACTTATTTTTAGCAAATGTATGTTATAATTTATAGCCCCCAATTTTTGCCTCTGGGCTAGTTAGAAGCTGGAAGTGCTGGAGGAAGCAGTGAGGGATTAGGAATAGTGATGTTCAGGTTCCAGAAGGCACACTAGAAGCAGTTCTATGCTTGTTTTTCACAAAATCTGAGGGAAATCATACTATTCTTTTAAATTATAGTCTTGTCATTATTGTATCACTTTTCAGATTCTTTTCAATTTGTTCTGTATTGCTAAAGGTACAACTGTCATTGAGTTTTTGGCTAGCACATTGTTACTACAACACAAAGGGAACTCTTTCTGGTTCGGCTAAAGATATCGCAGATTTGAAAACATAGAACATTTATAGAAAAATGTGATGGCTGTTAAGCTAAATATTTTAACTTTGAATGAATTCATTTGACATTGTATTGCTACTGAAAAACAAAGATAAAAAAAAATACTATAATTAAACCACATACTCAGATTTAGCCCAAATCACTGAAAATTACAACAGCATAATTCACTATATTCTCTCTATGCTGTTTGTCTGACATGTTGTTTTTTATTACACTTGAATGTTAAGGTAAACACAGACCCTTCTTTTTCCACTGGCAGCTGCTCTGGTATCCATCCAAAATAGCATGTGAATACAGTAGTCCTATGACATAGATCGCACCTCTGTGTGATAAGAACTTTCTGCTGAAACAGCTAATTAGTCTCCTACTTAGAACTAAAAAATAAATGTACAACATCTTTTCCAGAAGCTTCAGAACATTTGTATCAAAAAGGAGTCCAGAAATTCCTGCAAAATGCGTAAAGACAGATAAGCATCAGAAAAACAAACTATTTAACATAAAAATAAAGAGAAGATAGCTTTTCTCTTCTATTCATTTTTCTGTTTTATTTTCATTTGTTGGAGAGTTTATATTTTCAGGAAGACAGAAAGTGGAATAACACAACTGTTTTGGCAGAACATTCTAAAACGTCTTGAAGACTTCAGCTATCAGACATTATTATATTAAAAAACATTTTGTTTTGTGATTGAGAAACCAAAAGTAGAATTTAAGGACAGAGAAGTTACTATGATTTTTATCTATAACTCTGGCTCTGTTATAAGCTATACTACCACTTATACTCTGGCTATACAAGCCATCTAAAAAACCCTAAAAAAATACTCAATTTAACAAGCTAACCTTTTACATGATTCAATACAATATAGAGCCAGACCTAACATATTAAGATAAAAACAAACAACTTTTTTCTTTCCCATCTTGTACAAGAAATAAGTAATTGTATTTATCTCTTTTTGTAAGCCTGAAACTACTTAGAAAATGCCAAGTCAAAAAAAAAATAAAATTTATACAGAATGGATAGTGTACCAAAGTTGTTACATTATAAAGGCAGGATGATCACATTTTGGAAGAAGTTCACTGTTCCTAAGTATGTATAGGTAAGGAATGCGGGTGGATGCAGATAGATGGGAGGGGAAGGAAAATGATACAGAGTAAATGGATGGGGAAAGCAAATGAAGAGACAGCAACCTGGGAAGCAGATGAATACACTCATGGCTAATTGACTCAGTATTTCTTAACCAGATTCCTTTTCTAATCAGGACAATAACAACACACACACAGAATCCTCTAATTAGCATACAATTAATATTTAAATAAGTTCTAGAAGATTAACATTCACAGATATATACTATGTAATCTGTACACGAATGATATACATTTCCTAGCGATAACATCTGATAGGCAAATGTAGCTTAAACAATAATATATTTATTACTGATACAAAAAGACTATATACTATTTGACATGTCAGGTATTTAAAAATTTTGCTATTGTTAAAGACATTTCTGGAATTTCAGTGGTATAAGGTTCGAATATTTAATATTCATCCTGCTGACACATATTTGGAACTACTTGAATTAGAAGAAAAAAAATTATGAAACTGAAAAAGCATAAAAGTTAGAACACAATTTATTTTCAGAAACAGTATTAGCAATATTTATAAGTATTCCCCATGTCAAAGCAGCTTCAAATAAGATTCACATTCCTCATGAACAATGAAGACTGCAGAAACTTACAAAATACATTACATATGTTTTTCAGAACAAGCTCATGATTAAGGAGCTAGACCACATGTCATGTTCAGCTCTCCCACCTACCCTACTGTTCTGTGTTAAAGAGGATGTGAAAAGCTGTTTCTCGTACACAGTATGTGGAACTTACAAGGACAGAGAACATAGCTACATGTGTGCCTCATGTCACAATATCTTTTAATCCATAACTTGATTGATGATCTAGCGGGTTTACAGTTAAAGCTTCCCTCCCATATTACACAAGCACAAAGATTTACAACAGACATGTAAATAATTAAGATATTAAAAACTAATATAACATAGATTCCAGGCCTGTCAATATATTTTAACTGCTCCCTTAGCCTACTATTTTGAGGTACAGGATACTTTCAGTTTCCCCACATAATAATAATCTCACAGAACCAGGGCCCTTTAATGTAATTTTTCTTGTTGATAAAAACCAGACTCTTGTTTAGTAGCATCTACTTCAGGTTAGAATTTTAAATAAACAAAATCTAGGTAATAAGAGCTCATACATTAAAAAAATTGTGTTAGTTAACATTTTAACAATATTGCATCAATCACCGAATGGCTGTTCAGCTCCACTGACTGAACATTGCAAGACCTTGTCAAAACATTTTACCTGACAGATATGTTTATTCTTCCATTTGCTCAGCACACATTGACTGTTTTGCATTAAGTCCTAAAGGGCAACAGAAAACAGAGAGTGGAGTTGGCAGTACACATTGTCACTATCAGTTAACATACTTCTGATTTTCAAGTTTATAGATGAAGCATGCCATACAAAGATGCAGCTGTTTTAGAACAGCCCATCAGACAAAAGCACATTTATCATCACTAGGAGAGCTGAATCTTTATGAAAATTAAAGCTGTTGAAAGAGGTTTGAAAACTGGATTATATGTTGCTGTACTTGAAACTTTTTCAGAAACATACCTCTAACTCCTTGAGTGTATCTCGCAGTTTGTCTGGTCGCCTATTTTTCAGTATCCAAGGATAATCTCGAGCTGGCAAATGAAAGTTAAAAAAGAAAAAAGAAGATAGAGAATATGTGTATGTACAGGTGACTGTATATATATGTGTATATATGTGTGTGTGTACAAATATACATTTACATATAATAAAAAAAAGTTCTTCAAGTTGAGCTTCCTTTTTTGTGGAAACAAAACTAGGATTGCTAGGAGTTACATTAAAAGTAAAACTTACCTGTAATTGGAAGGAAATGGCTATGGTTTCTATTGGTTTGTATTGTCAAATGATAACCTGTTGAAAGGCTCTGTCGTAGGAACAGTTAGCATGAAATATCCACATTGACCATGACTTCACCATGGCAATTGTGTACAAAGCTCTCAGGATGTAATATCTTACCCAGCTACTAAGTACTTCCAATGAGAAAGCATCTCACATTCAGTATGTTAACTCCGATTCAAGTTCTCAAATCCTAAACAGGTACTATTCTTTTGAACCAGCACGTCATTGCCTGATTTTAAAAAGCAGGCACTAATAGGTCTGCAGAATATATATGCATGGATATGTGAATATACAGAGGTATTGACAACAGGTAATTGTGACTGCCATAACTATGGAGTATAGTTATTTATAGGATTTGTGTTTGCAAATTTGGTCTGAAGAATCTGCCAAGTCAAGCAAACAAGAAACTGCATGACTGCTACAGCCCTTTAGCAAATTTATTAATGTTCAGCAAACTATTGTGAAAATTCTGGCCTAATACATTAATCCTGAAACCAGGAGGCAAAGCTTCCTCCGGAGTTGCTAGTAATAGGCTTGTTTCACAGCTGAGAATCAGGTTCTAATAACTCATGAAATTTCATCTATTAAAAGTGAGCAGTTTTCTCTTTGTAAGTATACAATAAAAACCACAAGAAACTAGAACACATTGTCTTTTAAAAATCTAGCCTATTTAAAGGAAACCTGATGAAAAGTTTTGGGCTCCAAGCTGTCAGTTTGTATGCCAACTTCCAGACTGAATGACTTAACAGTTGTGCTTAAACCTCCCTGCAAAAAGGAGTTTACAATAGAAGTGCTATAGAGTGAAAAAATGAAGGATTTCATAGATCAACAAAAGAGCACACCAACATACAAGTTCTCTTTGTGTTTTACTGGACTGATGCCAATGTTGGTGGAACTGTTATGATAATATTAATTAGGCATGTAAGATCACATTTTCAATGGGTGCCTTCATAAATACTGGAATATTTATCCACGTATGCAAAATGGGAAATTGCCTGTACAGATACCAAACTTTATATACAAATCAGCAGCTGTGAATAAAGTTGCACAAAGCTCCTCTTTAAGAAACATGTTATACGGTGCTTTGTGCCTAGGTCATTCCTATATTTGCAACAACGAGGTACAGTAGTTCATGTTCCTTTTGCATGTCACACGTATGAAAAACAACAGTTGGGACTTCTGTATAATGAGGTTTACCTGGGCCTGCTTCTCTTTTCATACAGGCAGCGACTGTAAGATAATGCTACTCAGAGCATTCAGGGATATAAATCCCTACTTATAACCCTTGCTCACCTCCCCACCTTTACAGAGCTGTATTGACTGAGTGACACACAACCCTTCACAGCAGGTGTAGATTTACCACATGGCTGCATGCACCTTTATACCCATCCCCACTGGGGCTTCAACCTGCTCCAAACATACCTTATGGTGTTGCAAATAACTTACCCTTCTGGAATACATTTTGCCTTCAAACGCATGCACAATGCAATGTTAATTTTCATTATAAGATAAAATGTTAAGGCAATTCTTACAGCATACAAATTATTTTGTCAAGTCACCTGAAAATCAATTAGTTTTTTCAGTGTTGTCATGTAATAATGTTTGAACATTAATGAATGCTGTGAGCAATAGTAACTATGCAGGAGTTGTAAAACTTGAGCTAAAGAAAAGTCGTACTAATATAAAAATCTTTAACTGTCACAGTATTGCTGTGTGATAGCATAAACTGAAATTGCTTTTAACTAGATAACACAGAACAGTGTAAACGTTTCAAAGCTAAAAGCATTCTGTGAAGGCAGCTGATTATTAACCTGGAATTTGATTTTGGCTGAAAGTATTATAGTTATATTTTTCAGTTTTAAGGCAGTTGGTATTTCAGTTCAAGAGCTGATTGGGAAAAATGTATATTACTCATCTGCTGAGTAAATTTCATAATGAAAAATATGGATTGTGATTATTTTTGTGATTCCTTGACAATGGACTTGAGAAGCAATACACACTATTACGTTTAGCGACACAGAAAAAAAACCAGATTGCAATTATACCAGGAAGGAATAATTACAACTTCTAAATGGTTTTGCGCTGTGTAGTTCTGTGACCACCTGTCTTAGATGGCATGTGCAGAAAGTTACATTGGAAGCAGTCTGAGGGTATTTTAATACTTTTTCAGGGGCATCACCAATCCAAATTAATAATCTGGTTTTACTGTAACAAGAAACTCAGAAAATGTCCTTACATTCTGCTAGCTTTTGCTTCTCTTCTAAGTAACCATGCTTCATCTGTGATGCTAAAGGAAAGAAAGGATGAAAAGATGAATGATAATCCTTACGACTGCTGTCAGCAAACATTAATATTAGAGAGAAGACTCATACCATTTGATAAAACATAGAAATTTACAAACAATTAAGACAGACCTGATGTTTTCACCTCGTAAGGTGGATATCTTAAATTTTCAGTGAAAGAAAGGCTTCTGCAGCCCAACAGGTGGGCCAGCATTACTGAGCCTCCAATCTCATTAGATAGTGAAGTGAGCTGCAACTGAACCCAAAAGAGAAGCTGAGTCAGTCTGTCAGCAGAGCCATGGAGACAGCGTATTAACCACGAAACTCAGCCCACAGGATGCTGGCACAAGCCTCCACTCTAACCTGGCCGCAAAGAGGAAGTAACTCTAGCCGAACAGACCTTTTGGCCCATCCTGAAACTTCTAGGATTAACAGGATTAATCAGATAAAGAAAATTGATCGTTCACTCTGAAATGGCCATTTCAGAGACCAGGTAGGGATGCAGGAGGCCAGGGCTGGCACTCTCGTGCGTTCACGATGCCCTCTGCTGGGATTCCATCAAACACCCAACTACCGCAGCGCCAGGGTCCAACTGCCCGAGCCTTGGACTGCACCGTCCCTCACAATGATGTTAGTACGGCATTTTGGTATTCTGCAGCAGGTGAAAGGGCTGAATAGAAGATAAAAGACTATATAAAATATTAGAATTTAGAGTTTTAAACCCCACTGCTGTTTCTAATGACAAAGAAGTTGGGTTTACGCAAATATTTTCCCTTTCTTTTTCTTCTGAGGAATAAAATGTTTTTAAATACTCTGTTGTAACTTGGGAGAGATAACTTCCTTCTGTGCTTCCTTACTACATAGAAATACAGAGGCATATACTAACAAGAAATTTGAAGTTATATTTTTCAGAGGAAGCAGTTGGTGCAAAGATTGAACAATTGTAAGTTTTGTTTAGTTTTAGTTATGGTTCTTTATATTTTACCTGGTTCCTTGTTGTCATAGTACTGGTGGATCCCAATATCGTCATCTATACAATTGAATGTAAATATATTTAATTATGGATGTGACACTGGAAACAAAACACAACTTAACATCAAAGTTCAGGACCTCAATTTTTGCTAGCTGGAGTGAAGTGTTAGATGTTAAAATACAAGTGAGAACAGAAAAAACTACAGCATGCAGTCTGAATACCAGTGGGACTTTCAAGAATCAGCAAGGAAGGGCTGAAGGAGAATGTGACACATCCTTACATTTATTTGGAGCTGTCATTTCCTTCACATACACACTTTGATTCTCTTCCAGCTGCCAACATGCAAAAGTATTTTTATCACCTTCTTAGTTAGCATCTTTTATGTTCTTCCATATAAAAAGATAAGGATCATGGTGAAAAGTGTACCTCAGAATAACTCAAAATGTTTTATGATGATTGGCACAGCTGAGCTAAAGACAACAGGGTTTTTCTAAGATTCGTGAACTCATAAAGCTGCCTTTTCAAAGGAACCAATATTCTTAATCTATAGGTATTATTGCCTACCCAGTTCACATGGCAAATAAATTTGGATGTTTCAGGTACATTGGGACTGCAAGTCACACCAGCCAGTTCCTGATATGGCTGACTGGTAAATACTTTGGTGTGCCAAGGTAAGCTCCACCACATAGATCTAAATATTGCTTTAAGTTGCATGTTTTAAAATAATTAGTATGACACTGCATCTGCCTCCTTCTAAACTCAGACCAGGATATACCATCGGGAGAAATTCCTTACATGGAGGAAATGTAGGAAGGCACTGCAGTGGCAATACTGCTTTTAAAACAAGACAGTAGTCCTCCCTTCTGCCTCAGAATTTTAAAATGAGGTTTGTAGGCAAAGAATATATGGGGAGAGTGGAAGCAAGAAGGTCAAAGATGGAAAATTGGCATAGTAGACCACAGCACACCTTTAATTACAATAAATCACAACTACATGTTTACTTAAACCATCAGACTTTTCTATGAAATACAGCTTTTGACTCCTTTATCTTCTTGTTGTTACAGAACAGTTCTCACACAAAAATGGGATGTCAAGACACATTGAGTCCGTATTTGAATAATACTATTCAAATAATATCAATAATATTCAAAATAATAATTCAGTAAGATTAAATAATATCCAAAATAATATTTCAACAGAAGTATTGTATACTACAATTGGCATGAAGCATCATAAATAATATTTTGATAAGGCCGACTTATAAACCAGTGGGAATTTTTTTAGTATTCTATTTTAGCAATAGCAAGGCAAGATGAATGAAGGTAATTTCTACATGGCTAGTAATTAGTCATATGTCTCCTGGAACAATCAATTAATAAGATAAATATATCCTTGTAAGTATAAAATTTCAAGTAATAATGCAAAATACCCAGAACATGCAGTATTTTTTTATTTTCATGGTAAATACAAATAAAAATGTCTCTGCAAATCACTTCACTCTAGAGTTTCATTCATCCAAACTAGTCATTGAAGCAAAGCTTACAGGCAAGTAGGGCATAGCTTCCTAAAAAGGAAAATGCATTTAATTAAATATAATCTTAACATTTTTTACTTGAAAGGAGGCTCCAGTTCCATGATGAGATAAGCAAAGAAGCTGACCAAGTTCAAACTTCATATTGCTGCCTAATTTTCTTTCTCCTGAGTATAAAAACCACTTCATGTAGGTATTCAGAATTTTATATCAGTTTAATATTCATCAACAAGCTTTGCTGTTTTGTTTCTAGTGACAGGTAACAGCTCACCTCTAATATGTAAGTTAGTCTTCAAAGACCACAGGAACATCTCAGTCAGGCAGAAAGACATCTGGTGGCAGATGGAGCCTTATCACTATCAAAGGATGGAAAGAAACTGCATGAGCAAATTAATTACCCTCTATCACCAGTGAAACTGCAAGTATTTTGGAAATCAAGTGCTAGAAGAACTTGGTGCCAATGATATTCTGTTGTATGTAATTTGTAGTTTAGTGCTAGAAGAACTCACTGCCAATGATACTTTGTTATATATAATTTGTAGGTTTTGACTGCAAT